GGACGCGCTCTCTTCCCAGCCCCCTGCAAACTGCTGCATCCCCGTTACCCCAACACACTCAGTGAAGGCGCCAGTGCTCAGCCAGCGAGAAAGGGTCAGCACGGCACAGTTTGAAAATGCTCACCTATTAAAATTCATATTTTAATGAATTTTAATGAATTCATATTTCAATAATGACACCCAAACACACAGCCCAACTCGGGGCTCCCACAGCACAAAGTCCTGGCCTGTGTTTCCCTATGGTGCAGCCACATAACACACAGTCGGTAGCAATGCAGGTACCTGGCTCTGGCAAGTCTTAGGCAGAGATTTCTGGAAGGACCTGGGCAATCTTGCACGAAGAATTCAAATGTTCCAGCTGCAAACTCCTACACACTGACATATGTAAAGTCATGCTTTTTAACAGCAATCTATAATGTTTTCAGGATTTTGCATGCCTGCCTTTGCAGAAGTGTGTCAGCAGAGCATTTACATCTGCCTTACAAGCAGATTTACAGTGTGCTTGTAAAGAAGTTCCAGCTGACAGACTTCTCTCCTGATATCTCTGCTTCGAACACTCCCTCTAGCTCCCGCATTTCCATCACCACGGGTAAATACCAGGCTTCCTTGAAGCACACACCGAGGCTTGGTGCAGACCGCAGCGCGTGCTCTCAGTGCCAGGCCGGGCTTGCACAGGTCCCAGCCCAAGGGACCCCCCGACGTGGACACCTCCGCTCCGGGCCACGCTCTGCTGCAGGACGATGCTGCGCGGGGCCGTGGGGCAGCTCGGGGCTCCCGCGGCGCGGCCTTCACCCCCGCCGTGGCCGAGCTCTGTGGGAAGAGCAGGAGGCAGCGCCCACAGAGGCCGTGCGCCGGGTCCAGCCGCAGGCGCCCAGAGCGCTCGCCTGGCACGTACCAATTTAATGAGGAATCATCTCCCGAATCAAGCTGCACCCAGCAGCCGCAGCCGATTTCTAGTAGCATCAACTCCCCCGCGGCCTGTGGCTTTGTGACCAACAGGCAGCCCAGACCAGCATCCTTCCACACTGGTCAATATGGAGCAACCAGTGCACTCAGAGATAGCAGGCCACAGAAACCCCGAGCCCCCAGTTTGAGGCCAGGGAKGCTCCTGGATTATCCCAGTTTGACGCCAGCGAGTCCCAGGACGCTCTCCTGGACATGTGCTGGTGGCCATCCCCCCACACGCTGCATGGGCTGTTCTGCTGCAATAGTCTTTGCTTCCCCACGGCCCCAGCAGCAGAGTCCTGCTGTGGCTCTCCAGAGTCAGTGGTAACACCCTCACCCAGCTCTTTTCCAGACTGGAGAGTCCCAGATAAACAGGTTCTTCTTGTATGGAAGCCACTGCTCTACTCTGATTTTTCCGGTTATCTTTCTAACACATCACRTCAGCAAACCATACACTCAAACAGTGCTTCACACATTGTATTCTCCTTCCCTAGTGTTTCTTAATGTTTATCCAGCTATATCCACATATGCTACTACTGTTTAGTCCCCTTGCAACACTTTGATTAACAACCTTGTCAAGTGCATATGGAAATGAAACTTCTCAGTTAACTGTCACTAAGTCTCTRTATGTCTTTTAGCAAGGGAGCACCACCTCTGAATCCAGATACTGAAAAGGAAAACAGAAAATTCTGAGTCTCTGACCTCCTGTTTCCTTATAGCCCGAGTCTCTGCAGATCCCCAGATCATTTCATGCTGGCACCATCCGCATCCTGGCAACTCCTTCCAAGTCTGAACTCTTCTTGTCTGCTCTCTGCATAACTTTCCCATCATTTCTCCCTTGCAAAATCATTGAAATGCATCAACTCCTCCTCTAGCTCGTCAGGCCTGGCCATACCGCATTAAAATAGGATTTATASGTCGCAAACACAGACAACGGCTACGTTGTCCCCAGTTCTTCACACTGCATACCAACTCCCCAGCTGGTTTAAATCAGATTAACTCCACTGATGTAAGACATTTAAGACAAGAGAGCTCCATGATTTACACCAGCTGAGGAGCTGTTATTTTATAGTTTGGCAGCTGCAGGTTTTGGCTTCAAAGTATTTTGGACAAGGATTTGAAGCAGCAGTGAAAATCAGAACAAATAAGTGGCAAAAAGTATATATATTCTCAGTGTAAAATGCACACAGCCATACACAGGTTCCACAAAAATCTTTTTTTTTTAAACGGTGCTGTACAGGATTGAGTTCCATCAGTCTGCAAAGTTAGTGCACCACCACAACCCCAAAACTAATCTTCAAAGTAATTATTAAGTCATAATACTGTATGTCATATGAATATTTCCATATGATAGATACAGAAAACTAAAGCAACCTTAATGCAAAGGTATAGCCCTCAAAAAAAAAGAGAGACTGATACACATACAAACACACAAGACAGAACCTAATATTCAAATCACGGACTTCATTTCTGCCRGAGCACTTTTAAAGCTGCAATTAAATCCAGCTGCCACAAAACAAACCAAACCAAACAAACAAAGCAAAGCAAACAAACAAACAAAAAGGCGCTAAAACTATGAAGCCAGACAGGACTACCAAGAGGCACAACCACAGAGTTCATGGCAGGGGAACTGGCACAGTTCTGCCAACTCGGAAGAATGCCGGAGCTCTGGGAAAACCAAGCTTTAATGCTTTCTCCTCCATCCTAGTGAAGGGGCTTTTTCAAGCCAACAGATATTGGGTTCTCAGAGAAACAGGGGCACAGCCAAGAGAGAGGAGGAGTATGGTGTGATGCCTCCAGCATCCACAGATTTGCAGGAGGACAGAGAAGAACCGTTTGCATCCAGCATCCCTTTCCCTAAGCAGGAAAGATCTTTCATTGGCACTTAAAAACCAGGCGAGCAAAAATACAGCTCACGGCGTGGCAAAGCCCCAAGCAGCAGCCTTCGCCCAGGTCATGGCCAAGGCAGCTGAGCTACAAGGGGAAACAAGAGCCAAGGAGCCGTGTGGGGGAGAGCCCAGGGTGGYGGGAGTAGCCATGGGCCCAGGCCCGGCCTTGGCCCCTCTGCAGGAGCCTCTCCCCRTTGATGCTCAAGCTGCTGCTGGAAGCTCTGCCAGGCCCATAAATCACCACGGACACTGCMGGCACCCAGGGCAGTAAATCTGGCCTCACTTCCAGGGGAAGCATAAAATTTGCTTTACTAGCAGCTTCTGAAACAAACACCACACTCGCAAAACTGTGAAATGACTCTTCAACATCCTGTGCAGCCAACAGGCCACTGCAAGCYTGTGTCAGAGTGATGACCAAGCTTCTCGAGAGGCAGGGCTACCCCAGCTTGACAAAGGAGGGAAGTCCCYGCAGACTGCACACCTTGCCCACAGACACACAACACGGTACCTTTAGCACACAGCAAAGACAGAGAACCTGGTCAAGTGAATTAAGCAGCACTTATSCTGTCATTTGTACTCACCATCTCCACAGGCACCACCGCARCTCTCAGCTGGCTCATAATCCRTCCCAACACAGCTCCATATGTTCCCACAAAAAAGGCAACTCGCCCTCCTCACCAGCCCAGCCCGTCCYTCCTAAAGGACCTGTATCAGTCAGGGAAACTTCCCCACCACATCTCCATGATCCCAATGAGATTACRGCTCTGCAAGAGTATTTTAATTCCTCCTGCTCGTTCCACACGCTGTGTGCATTAGTGTGCAAGCACCTCAGACAGGACCCCAGAGGAAGCCCCGTGAACCAGTATTTTGAACTGTTTGTTGATGCCAACCTGAGGACTACACCGTTTTTTTAACCCTGAACTGCTCAGCAGAGAGCACCAAGCTCGGCGATTGGGCCTTATCAGGAACCCAATGGAAAGGGATTTCCTGTTGAATGCGACCAACTCTCACAGGCCCCCCGGTGCTCTTTGCTTCCAGGCCCATTGCTTATTCCAGTCCTTTTCCCCTTCACCTTTGACAGCAGAAGATTGTATCCGGTCGCGACTCCACAGGCTGCTCGTGTCCCTCTGCCGCTCCTGTTCCTGCCCCTTTGCACACTCACCCTTGCACAGCCCCTTCAGCTCCTCGGGCACCTTTCAGACTGTGACCCTGTCAGCTCAGTTTCCTGCAGGGGACATGTTATGCTGTCCTCCTCTTCCTGCCTTGGTGCCTATCYGACAAAACTGGCCTATTAAGATAAACAGGGTGTTCTTAGGTTTTACAACACCGTCTCCTCAGGCTGTGCTGGCACAGCAGGGGCAGGCCAACAAAACCTGCTAGGGAAAACAGGCATCCTCTCCGCACCCTGCTTCTTGTAGACTACATGTAAGTGCATCCCTGCTTGAAGACCCCTGCCTTTCTCTAACACTGCTCTTTGCTCTCGTTCTTGCTGAGCAACCACCTCGCACTTCAGATCTGAAAGCCAAGAGCCCCTTTAAGCCAACGTCTTCGGATGCGGCTCCCAGGACCACGTCTCTCCACCAGCCTGGACGTCCCTTTCCCTTCCCCCCTCAGAGGGGCCTCTGGCAGCACCCACCGCGCGGCCAAGCGGGCTGGAGAGCAGGGCACCCCCGGCACGCGGCTGCCAGGCCCGGTGGGTCAGCACTGCCCGCTCCTCACGCAGGACACAGCCAATCTACACGCKCTTTGGTGCCGTCATCTCCTCCCAGGAAATGCGTGTGGCCGAGCAGCCTGATTCCAAGCCTGAAAATCAGGACACCGGAGCCCGCTGCTACCTGCCACCACCTGGCAAGGCAGCAACGAGAGGGCCCCGTGGCTGAGGAGACGAGAGGAGAGCTCTGTCCAAGCATGGCCCTGCGCTGCCTCTGCTCCCCAGCACGGGCAGCCGTGACCGCAACACAGATGGGAAAGGGGCTGCTCTGCAGCCTGCCTGAGAGAGGCAGGGCCAACGCTGCAGCCAGACACCCCAGCGAGATGCATCCACCACACCAGCGAGCGCCCTGCCTCAGCTGCAGCTCCTTTCTCGGTTACCTTGCTCTGCACTCCCCACAGCACTGGAGTGTTTCCGCAGCAGGGCAGAGCGCCCGGGCCGCCCGCAGCGCTCACCTTTGGGCATGATGCGGTGCATGGCCACCGACAGGAAGAAGATGGCATCGCTGTAGTAGGTGCCCTGGCCAGCGCTGAAGTGTCTCTGCATGGCTTCGACTACTGGCAACAGCTGCTCGGTCAGCACATCCACATCGTGGAAAATTACCTAGAAGACACACCGGAGGCAGGCGCTGAGCCACTACACACAACACACCCAGCTTCAGCAGCCTGTACCAACAGCCAGGGGTGACGCTGTTGACCTGCAGATGCTGCCTGCTGGCATTCCCACTGCCTGCTGACATTCCCATTGCACGGAGGGGTTCCACTGTCCCAGGCCTCATGCGCCTCCATGCTGGGAATGGCAGTGAGTGCAGCAGGGTAAGGAAGAAAGTTCACTGAGGWCTTAAGTAACTTCCACAGGTTTCCTGTGCAATCGCATTTTATAAACACACACAGCACACTGAGAAATGACCCTTTCAGTGGATTCACTAAAGAGACCCAATGCAACCCAACGTGCACCCTGTTTCTCCTCCCTCCCTCCGTCTCTCCAGGCGCTCCGGGGCTCCCTGYGTGCGCAGGGTCGGGGTGCCCGTGGCTGCGCGGCCTGGCAGGCCCTGGCTCCCGCTCCGGGGCTGGTGTCCCGGGGGCAGCTCAGCTGCGGGGCAGGCACCGACTTCCAGCGCGGCTTTCCTGGGAGCGGCCTGCCCGGCCCCGGGCGCGGGGCACAACCCGCCGGCCGCCCCCTCCCCTCCCCGCCCGCAGGCTCCGC